CCCCCCCCATGTCCTCTCCTGGCCCCGCCTCCACAGAGAAAGACTCCGCCCCTAAGCCTGCTGATAGGCCGCAGGGTGCTGTGATGTCGCCAGGTAGCCATGATGACAACAACAACAACGGCAACAACACGAACAGCAGCAGCAGCAGCAGTCCTGTAGAAAAAGTGGCCGCTGTGTAAAAGAAATGGCCTCGTCTCCACAGAGAAAGACTCCGCCCCTAAGCCTGCTGATAGGCCGCAGAGTGCTGTGATGTCACCAGGTAGCCATGATGACAACGGCAACAACACGAACAGCAGCAGCAGCAGCAGCGGTCCTGTAGAAAAAATGGCCGCCGTGTAAAAAAGTGTCTCCTCTTCACCCGTGTACAGTTTTCTGTTTTTCATTGTTTGTTTTGATCGTCGTCTCTTCAGATTGTCCCTCACCAGCACCTGTAGCATTTGTCCACATACCCACAATGCCATTCTGCAGCCGCCAGCAGCTCTTCTGATTGGTCGAATATCTGACATCACGTCGCCTGGAGCGTATGTTCATGTCCAGGTGGTGGCTTAGCCAATGAGATGTCGGAGCTCCAGCAATAAAAACATTCTCACTCAGCTGTGATGTGATTGGTCCCCCCCACCGACAGACAGGGCTTGGTGATTGGTTGAAAAAAAGGCAGCTATAGTTTCTATTGGACTCTTCTTCAAGCCCTGCCTCCCTGGGAAGGCCTGGCCAATCGGTGCACATCTCTCAGAGGTGGTGCATTGTGGGACATGGAGTCACAGCAGGTTAGTTAGGTCGTTAACGGAAAGGCGGCAGAATAATGAAAGTGAGAGAACAGGCGGGACTCGAACCGGTCAGAGAGGACGGATGTCTTTTTTTAACTTGTGTTTCAGAGTCATGAGAAGTGAATCAGACAGGACTCTGTTTAATCACAACATAAACAACGCTTTCTTCCCCGTTCCACTCTAAATATTCACTTTGTAGCTACTGTTGCACTGCACACAATGAAATCACATGATTGACCACAAGGGGATGATGACAAATTAAGACAATTTAAATTCATCTTTCTCAACGTCTACCTTTTTACTTTTCTGAAACCACCCTTAATTTCGTGCTTCATATTGGACAATATGAGGTCCTCTGGTTGGCAGACTCCTCACACTGTCTTCTGATTGGTCCACTGTCTCCGGTCGCTGTCCTCTGATTGGCTGACGGTCTCCGGGCTGTTTCCGAGGGACTTTCACAGCACGCTGTCCTCTGATTTGCTGACTGTGTTCAGAAACTGTCCTGATTGGCTGACTGTGTTCAGAAACTGTCCTCTGATTGGCTGACTGTGTTCAGAAACTGTCCTCTGATTGGCTGACTGTGTTCAGAAACTGTCCTGATTGGCTGACTGTGTTCAGAAACTGTCCTCTGATTGGCTGACTGTGTTCAGAAACTGTCCTCTGATTGGCTGACTGTGTTCAGAAACTGTCCTCTGATTGGCTGACTGTGTTCAGAAACTATCCTCTGATTGGCTGTCTGACTCCGGGCTCTCTCCTCTGATTGGGTCACTGTCTCTGGGAGCTGTCCTCTGATTGGCTGACTGTAGATACTGTACAGTTAAACTGATATGAAGTCTGTTGATATTTTGCTCATCTGCTGTTAAATTGATTGAAAAAACAAATGTCATTGTTATTTTTTATTTGATTTAATTGAACATTTTTAAAAAGAGATGGAAAAGTGTTGATACAGTCTATGATAGTTTGTTTTAAACTAAACCAAAGTGTTATTAAGAATCTATATGACCTTGTATGTAAAAGTAGAAGTGTGTGTGTGCGTCAGTCTAACAGCATTATTTTTATAACTCTCCGCCCGTCTCTCTGTTTTTATGCTTTGTCGTTATTTGGGTTTTTGTTGTGCATGAAACCTTTTGGACAAAATCATCCTGAATGTTTCTCAGATGGGTTTTTGCCGCTGCGCCAACAACATGAGCTGGAAACCAGATCCCCATCGTCTCTAACCCGTGTAATGACTCAGCAGAGCGGGTAGTAACACATGCTGTATGTCCTAACCACTGATGTGTTCTAGAGACATGCTGCTGACCTCATTGGATCCTTCCAGTGAAATGGACTCTGATGTTTGACATGGTTGTTGATGAAGACATCGTGGGTGTGTTGATGAAGACATCGTGGGTGTGTTGATGAACACATCGTGGGTGTGTTGATGAACACATCGTGGGTGTGTTGATGAACACATCGTGGGTGTGTTGATGAACACATCGTGGGTGTGTTGATGAACACATCGTGGGTGTGTTGATGAACACATCGTGGGTGTGTTGATGAACACATCGTGGGTGTGTTGATGAACACATCGTGGGTGTGTTGATGAACACATCGTGGGTGTGTTGATGAAGACATCGTGGGTGTGTTGATGAACACATCGTGGGTGGTTATTACATATTGCATGTGTTATTACAATGTAATCAAATAAAATGCAACTCCCACATTTTTCATCAACCTTGTTGTTGTTGTTATTAGTGTTCCAAATATATTTGTTTTGTTTGTAAACATTCTTTGAGATTTTTAATTTTTTTATTTAATTGGATTCTGTCTCTCTCCACCTGTCTCTCTCTCTCTCCTGTCTCTCTCTCTCCTCCACCTGTCTCTCTCTCTCTCTCCACCTGTCTCTCTCTCCCCTCACCTGTCTCTCTCTCCACCTGTCTGTCTCTCTCTCTCTCTCTCTCTCCACCTGTCTCTCTCTCCACCTGTCTCTCTCCTCACCTGTCTCTCTCTCTCCACCTGTCTCTCTCTCTCTCTCTCTCTCCACCTGTCTCTCTCTCTCCACCTGTCTCTCTCTCCTCACATGTCTCTTTCTCTCTCCTCACCTGTCTCTCTCTCTCTCCTCACATGTCTCTCTCTCTCTCCTCACATGTCTCTCTCTCTCTCCTCACCTGTCTCTCTCCTCACCTGTCTCTCTCCTCACCTGTCTCTCTCTCTCCACCTGTCTCTCTCTCTCTCCTCACATGTCTCTCTCTCTCTCTCTCCTCACCTGTCTCTCTCTCTCCACCTGTCTCTCTCTCTCTCTCTCCACCTGTCTCTCTCTCCTCACCTGTCTCTCTCTCTCTCTCCACCTGTCTCTCTCTCCTCACCTCTCTCTCTCTCTCTCTCACCTGTCTCTCTCTCTCCAGTCTCTCTCTCTCTCTCCTCACCTGTCTCTCTCTCCTCACCTGTCTCTCTCTCTCTCTCTCTCCACACCTGTCTCTCTCTCCTCACATGTCTCTTTCTCTCTCCTCACCTGTCTCTCTCTCTCTCCTCACATGTCTCTCTCTCTCTCCTCACATGTCTCTCTCTCTCTCCTCACCTCTCTCTCTCTCTCTCCTCACATGTCTCTTCCTCTCCTCATCTGTCTCTCTCTCCTCACCTGTCTCCCTCCTCACCTGTCTCTCTCTCCTCACCTGTCTCTCTTCCTCTCCTCATCTGTCTCTCTCTCAAATCCCACATTTTATATCTTTTCAATATGTCATGTGTTGTTGTGTTTGCACCCTGTGTTGTTTATCGCGCTGCAGAGAATCTCAAAATGTTTCTTCTACCTTTAGAGTTTTCTGTTCAGGAGCAGTCCGACATGTTGGGATGTTGTGTTCCCTGTAAATCTGGATTATTATGTTGAAACTATTTGAAGCTGGCATTTCCCCCCTGCTTCCAGTCGTCGTGCTAAGCTAGGCTAACGTTGGACGAGTCCTTTAATGTTTGGTGAAAGAACACTTTGGTAAAGCTGCGTCACAGGAGATGTTTTATTGTAATGAATTCATCCTGAGATCTGTATCTGATAAAAGTCTCCCTTTGGACAAAACATGTCGTGTCTCGTGATTACAAAAATATTACATTATTTTTCAAGTTAAGACCTGTATCAATAAGTTCAATACAAATATTTCTTATTTTAGGATTTGTATTCAATAAATTATTTAATTATGAAAACAAAATATCCCAAAATGTATTTACCTCCTAGTCCTTCATTGGAGAAAGATGTATCTCTAATAATGTATTGTGATGATTAGTCCAAGAGGTTAATCTCGTATTTGTCTTTTATTTTCGAATTTTAAATTAGACGCCATGTTTGTAGTCCTTTCAGTCCGTGCAGCATCATTTCCCAGCAGCCACCTCTCACAGGAAGGGAGAACTACTAGTCTGAAATTAATCTGAATCATTTTGTTTTTACTGTCAGGAATATTATATTTAAATAAAATAATCATTCTCTCTCTCTCCACCTGTCTCTCTCTCCTCACCTGTCTCTCTCTCCTCACCTGTCTCTCTCTCTCCTCACCTGTCTCTCTCTCTATCCACCTGTCTCTCTCTCTCTCTCTCCACCTGTCTCTCTCTCCTCACCCCTCTCTCTCTCTCTCTCTCCACCTGTCTCTCTCTATCCACCTGTCTCTCTCTCTCCACCTGTCTCTCTCTCCTCACCTGTCTCTCTCTCTCCACCTGTCTCTCTCTCTCACCTGTCTCTCTCTCTCCACCTCTCTCTCTGCTCACCTGTCTCTCTGCTCACCTGTCTCTCTCTCCACCTGTCTCTCTCTATCCACCTGTCTCTCTCTCCTCACCTGTCTCTCTCTCTCCACCTGTCTCTTCTCTCCTCACCTGTCTCTCTCTCTCCACCTGTCTCTCTCTCCTCACCTGTCTCTCTCTCTCCACCTGTCTCTCTCTCTCCACCTGTCTCTCTCTCCTCATCTGTCTCTTTCTCTCCACCTGTCTCTCTCTCCTCACCTGTCTCTTTCTCTCCACCTCTCTCTCTCTCTCTCCACCTGTCTCTTTCTCTCCACCTGTCTCTCTCTCCTCACCTGTCTCTCTCTCTCCACCTGTCTCTCTCTCTCTCCACCTGTCTCTTTCTCCTCACCTGTCTCTCTCTCCTCACCTGTCTCTCTCTCTCTCCACCTGTCTCTCTCTCCTCACCTGTCTCTCTCTCTCTCCACCTGTCTGTCTCTCTCCTCAACTGTCAGGAATATTATATTTAAATTAAATAAACATTTGATTTTTTACATTTAATCTACAGTCATTTTAAAAACCCTCATGAAGAGTCCAATAAACAGAGTGACGTCACATCTGTTACACATCTTCCTATAAAGTGTTCAAAATACTTAAACATTGCACTAATAACAGCGACTCCGCTCAGAGATTGAACACAGTTAAAGACCTATATGTTATCAGAGGTGCGTGCTAAAAATACAATAAAAACATGACAACTAAGACAGGGCTGCCAACATTTGAGTTCAGCTTGGTGAACCGAAAAAAGAAACGTTCACGTGTACAGTGTTACAAATGTATTGAACATGCACAAACTAGGGTTTCCCATTAATGCACCGGGCGCTACAGTGGAATACGTATACACAGTGTACCCGCGATTCTTACAATGAAGGCTCGATAATCAGCTCACAGCACCTCCTCTAGGGGGGTCCGGGGGCATGCTCCCCGGGAAGATTTTTTTTTTACATATTGAAGTTAAATGCATCAACCTGGTGCACTTTGAGAGCAAAATGAAGAGATCTATAGATAGATCTCTCAACACCCATATGAAACAGAACACTAAACAGATTTTATTTTTCTTTATGGATATTTTACAAATCACTCCCCTTTTAAACTGTATTCTTGTTTTACTGTCATACAGTATTTCATAACTGTTTTTCATTTATTCTCATAAATGGTGACCAAACCGTTCGAGACCCACTGAGATAACTAGACTAAAGTTAACTATCTAAACAGAGAGTCCCTTAGCTCACTGAGCTGTAGTTATCTCTCAGTCTGACAGGAGAGAGCTCTCCCTCTCATTGTTTGAGAAACAGCTTCTAATATCTGTTAGCGCAGCTAGCTAACCAGATGCTAACAACAGCAACAATGCAAATAGTGAGTTTGGTAGAAATATACTGTATAATAGTAAAGTTATTTAAGATGATGCCATATTTATTGAAGATTTTACATTATAAATATTCCCCAAAATTATTCAAAAGCATATTCTTCAAAACTCTCTGCTGTAGTATGACACACAGGAGACTATTGATGTGTGTAGTGAGTTTGGTATTAATAAGCTGTATAATAGTGATTGAATATTATTGTATTCTCTTTTTTCGGAGTTGCACTTTGCAGACGGTCCCTGAGCACTCGTTTCTTCTCCGGCTGCAGATAGAGACCAATGTAATGTGTCCAGCTCGGAGGGCGGCGCGTATTGGCTT